AAAATTGAGTGCAAAAAAATATTGCTGTGTGTTTCTAGTCTGCATGTATATTATATATATTATATACATTTATCTCCCACTTGCCTGGTCCATGGCTTTGGTTAGCCTTGTGTTTGAAATCATGGCCTGGAAAGAGCAACAATTAGTAGGTTCATTTACTATTTTGACTGCAGTTAATCATCACTGACACCAGTGCTGGGTCCATTCATGTTTTTTCACAGACTACATTTTCTCCATTTCCTGGTCCTCCCATGGTCAGAAGGGTTGACTAGAAGCGTGGGCCTGCAGTGGGGGTGTGCACGTGAAAGAGCACCCTGGAGGCTGTGCAGAAGCTCTGCCAGGCACAGAGGGACAGAATTACCCTTTCATGCTGGTTCTTGTGCTGGGGAGAGCAGGGCAAGCCTCTCGCTGCCCACAGCCCCTTCAGCTGTGGGAAATGCTCTTCACCCCGTCCTGGGCGCTGGGAACTCACCACTGTGCTCACAAGGCCTTGTGTGCTGAGGGAGTAGAATCCATCCCAGCTGTGGCAGCACAGGAGCATTTAATTTGTCTTGCATACAGTTTATTATATGTTGTAACCGAAGGGAATAATTCTGATCTTTAAGCAAACCCTCTGGAAATGTGGTCTAGAAACCATTCCAGAGAACCAAGCTCCAACTGCCTCCAACTACTGGGACCTCCTCCTTTTGTATTCTGCAAAACATTTGGAATTAAAAAATGAGAAAAAATTGGGTTTTATTTAAAAAAAACCTCACACAACTAAATTCACTTTCCAAATGCTTGGATGTTGATGAAAATGCTGCTTTTCAATTATTTTCATAAGCAAATGGGTTTATTTTGTCACCAGTGCATTGTGTATGCATTGAGGGTGTGTGTAGAAAGGTTTTTTCCAAAGATTTTGAGTGTGTTGGCCATTCAAATACAGCGGCAAAGGGTTAGAAATGTCAGAGGTATTCAGTATTGGTGAATTAATACAAAATATGTTTGAAGGTCACACCTAGCCATTAAGTATGTTTTTATAAGGTTTTGTGTCAGTATTTGTGAATATTTTAATGTTATCATTAGTGCATGGCTCTCCACAGACCATTAGCCCAAAAAAATCAAAGGCATAGCAAAAAATTACAGATAAAACATACACCAAGGTGGTGAAACGGAGTATCATAAACAAGCAAATGATGGCAAGAAAGTCACTAAAACATCTGCATTTACATAGTTTGAAATAAAAATCAGTTTCAAGAAAAATAGATTGGATCCTAGAAATGAAAAGATTTTATATTTATCATTGTGGTTGGCAATGCTTTTTCAGGGCGTGCTCTGGTAACTGTAGAAGATTCTAAAAGGAATAACTCCAAGTAGGATGTCAGGAAAATAAAAAATGTATTAATTTCAAGCTTAGGTAATGATAACATTAAAAACAAAAAGCAAAATTGGATTTTGAAGTGATTGTGTTTGTAAGTGAACTTCCTAGGAAGCTGATGCTGCTGCTTTATTTATTTATAATGTTTTCTAAACTGGATGACATTATGTTTAGAATGGGCTTTCTCTTTTTTTCTTCCAAAGGGGTTCATAATTTAATAAACGTATTTCATTCTGCTTGTTTTCCAATTCTGACCCTGGCTACTCAATATAACAAGGCTTTGATGGTTTGCATGGGGGTAAACTTAATTGCTGAGCTGCAATGCAAGGTTTTCATGCTGTGGAAGCTCTTCCAGGGAACATACAATTTGTCCAAGTTAAAGAGCACTGTAATGTGAATCTCACTTGTGTGATTGTTCAATTTTAAACAGAGTTTGGGCTCAGCAGGTTCTTTCATCAGATTTTCCCCTATCCAATTCTGCTGCTTGGAACATGCTGCATGGAAAATCTCCTGAAACTGAAACAAACTATTAGAGTGCTGCAGAATGCTTCAGTGCAACTAAGAAATTTTAAGATGGTAATAGTGTTTATTGTTTGTAGAACTGTATTGCTTACAGGTCCTGGAGCAGTAAGGAGTGGCACTGCATGAAGACTTCTTTAAGGCTCAACTAGGAAGTCTGTTCTCTCAAAAATCTTGCCGTCTAAAACATGTATTAAAAAGAAAAAAATAAATACTTTTTATTTTTTTACTTATTGGAATCAAGGCAAGCAAAGAAACAAGATAAATATATTTTAAAATATTGGACATGCAGTGACCTATGTGTAATTTTTTAATGTGTTTAAGGTCAAATATAAGGAGCAGTTGCAAGTTACACAGGGTACAAGACATGACCTTTCTTGGCCAAGCCTCTGCTGCCCCTGATTGCCCCCAGCCTCTCAACAGGGGGGTGGTGTCTTCTTGTTTCACTGCTCCTGAAGTGGTTTCTGCCAAAATAACCTGATTTACCTTAAACACTGTTGTCCACGTTTATAAAACACATCTTTCTGACAGGATGAGCTGATGAAGTAGCTGTACATGCAGTTATCCTGCTGTGAGGTGAGGAGAGGGCTGATGAGCAGCTCGAGAATGGCTGAGAGCAGTGCTCGTTCTAGGTACCTGCAGCCAAGGCAGCTTCTCTGGCCTGTGCCCAACACCCATGGGCACGGGCTGTCCCTCAGGGCAGGCAGGAGCTGGAGGAGGCACTCAGAAAATGGGCAGCCAGGTTGCTGGGGCAAGGAGACCAAGTATACAATATTCCTGAGTGGACTTCTAGCGCATTCATATGTCACCAAGTAAAGTAGTGAGATGAAAACTGAATAATACTGAAAACAAAGACTGAAAAAGCAGAGAACAGTTTGAGGAGGGTTGTTAGCAGCAAAATCCCCACTGGAAGCACCCAGAGACTGAATAGAATATGCATGAGCTGCAAATATGATATGCAGAATGTGTCCTGGAGTTCAAGTCCTGATTTGATATTCCTTCCAATTCCTCAGATACAGGATGATTAGGATGCTTTTTCCATTCAGAATGGATGTAAGCATTGCTCTGGAAGCCAAATTCTGTCTCCAAAGAAGGGAACTGTCTGCATTTACTTCTTCCAGACCTAACTGTACTCCTCAGTGACTTAAGTCTGTGTCTCTTTTTTAGCCTAGTGAATCCAATTTTGTAATCCTCTTTGTACTTTCCTACCTTTCTGTGTGTCAATGCTCTTCTGTTTGAGGAGAAACGCACTATGCACATTATGCCTTTGGGTTTAATTTTGTGAAATGTTTTTGATGAGAAATATCTTGACTCTCTTCTCCACTCCCTCCTTCCCTGCGAGTTTCCCCACTGATCCTCTGCATTTTTTTTCCCCAGATGTTTCAACCTGCTGAGCAGGAGTTCTTGAAAGCAGACTTATTGAGTGATCAGTTATCACAGCTTGAAAATGCCTGCTGAGGTGTTTGACACCCAGCTAGCATCCCCAGAGTGGCTGGCTGCTCCATTGTGATGCCTTAAAAATGGGTGCTAATGAAGCAGATTCTCAGAGCTGGAGCGCTCTGCAGATCTTGCTGCTCTCAGTCTCTCGAGTTGAATGCTTCTGATTCAGAGATGCCTGCAGTCAGGAATCATTTCCATAAAGCTTCTCAGCATCACAGTGTCCTCCGCTAGGTTCCTAGATCAAATGCTCTTATTTAACTACTCTGAAGGAAGGAAAATTATTCAGGAATAGTGCAAATGAAAAAAAAATATGGAAGAGGAATAAGAAGCATAAACAGTTCTTCCATTAGTCTTTCTCTCCAAACCCATGCACACAAGATGAATAGCAAAGATACCAGAGAAGAATCACAAACTCTTTCCTTTTACAGCTCTTCTAAGGCATAAATAAGGAAGCTCTTTGTCATCTCTGTCACCCAGCTCTTTAGCATTTTGGTCCTGCCAGCACTTAGAAATTTATTCATAGCCTAGAATATTTTGTATGAAATTCGAACTCATAGTGAATGATTTACCCAAAAGCCTCTATTAAACAATTTTTTCAAAAACAAAACAATTCTTAAGACTTTAATTAAATAGAACCGAGATTAAATTAAAAAAAGAATCTAATTTCCTTTGCATGAAATGAGGTGGCATTTGGAAAGTGTAACTCAGCATTGCTTCATGTGAGCGTTGCTCAGGGTGCATGCAGAGCATCAGAGTGAGGATATTAAACACAATCAGGAGGCCTCACAGTATTTTATGGATAAAGAATCAAATTTAAACATAAAAGTGGTAATTAAACTGGGATTTCAGCTGACTATTATGCATTATAGCAATCTGATAATTACAAAAGTATTTAAGGAAAGTAATATACTTTTAGCTTAAAAAAAAACCTCTTTCTGATACACTGAAAAGTGCTGTGTTATTCACCCTTCTCATTCTCCATGCTTTGCTATACTTTCTTTAGAAACAGAAAAATTCCACTAATACAGTTTCTGGACACTTAGGGATATATTATGGGCACCTACTATGGGTTTGTTATTTAATCCCTAAAATTAGTTCTTCCTATGGTCTGTATCAAGATTTGGTGCTCCCAGATAAAATTGGTTTAAAAGGTTGACTGAACTGTGAAAGTAGGTTTCATATCTGGTCTCTAGCCTAGACCATGGTCTGAGCATCAGTTTCTGGCCAGACTTGTACTGCAGAGTTGGTCCTCTCTAATGTGTTTTCCCATACAGTGTGTTATTCAAACTATCCCTTTACCAGTGTTTTGGATCAAATCCAAGTGATTTGTTTTTTCTTCCTTTCTTTCTTCACTGAAATTAAAAACTAATGTAGGTGAATAACATATTGTGTTTAACCAAATTACTTGTCTTTCTTTCAGTGAAATATTCAATTTTATTTTATATTTTCTCTGTTACCTTTTTTTTGTTTGTTTGTTTTAATATTCCGCCTGGGGAATTTTTAGGCTTATTCATGAGGATATTACATTTGGAACACCTGAGGAAAGATAATTTTGCAAATTCATTTGTTTTGATTTTCTTAGTCACAGCCGTTCAGATTGCATTTGTCCAGATCTAGTCTCAAGCTTGTAGTCTCTTGCGGCTTCTAAAGACTAGAGTCAGGGTTTCCAGTGAGTGTATTTAGTATTTGTTATATCAAAAAACAAAGGCACATAAAATGAGAGTGGTTGCAGAAATGAGCTGAAGAGGAATCCCCTTAGCTGAGCCTTCCTGATTTCGGTGACATCCAGCATGTCCAAGTTGGTAGTCTATACATTTTTCAAGAGCTGGACACTGTGGTCTTCTGGCAGTCACGGGAACACAGCTTTTTTCAGACACCTCTGTTATGCCATTTGCAGACTCTCTGCTTGGGTCCTTCTCTATGTAAAATGCAGGCACAAACATACTTGACTTCATAAATCTCACATGGTCTATTATTACTTCTTGATGCTTGGATTAAACGTCTAGAAGATAAAGAGGTGGAAAATAAGGCAAAATAATTTTTCACTGGTGGAAAATAAGGCAAAATAATTTTTCACTGAATCCTCATCACCCTATTTGCCTATTTGTGAAAGTCAGGTTAAAAATACCCAGGCTTTTCAAGGCAGTATGCACCCAGGGGAAAACCTTTCATTCAGTACATTTTCATAGACAAGTCTCTGTATTGAAACTTTTTCTTCTCTGAATTTGTCCCTAGTACCTTCATTTCTTTGTTCAGACTTCCAGGGCTGCTCCTTAAGTACAATTCCACAGAATTTTTCAGCAGCTGCTGCTGACATTCGTAAACAAAAATAATTCATTAAACATACATAGTGATATACAAAAGTCATGCTAAGGGGTTAATTGTAGCTCATGGATGTGAAAGGACAAATTGCTAGACTAATCTAAAACCAGAGCAAGAAGGTGACAGCAGTGTCAGTGCCAAGATGGGACAGGTGGCAGACTGGGTGTGTGAGAAACACCCAAATTCTGCAGACCATTGGTATTGGGGGCCTTTGTGGAGTAGGGCTGGCAAGGCAAACAGGACTAATAGGTGACCATGTCAGCAATGCTATGTGGGGCCAGGAACATCCAGGCAATTGAGTCAAAAATACCAAGCCTGGTTATTGATGTGACAGACCTGTCTCCAAGGGGGGAACAGGCTTTAGAGGAGGGTTGTGTAAGTGGGGCAAGGCTGGAGTCTGGGAAGAGAGATACAAACAGCAAAAGGAGGGCCAACAATCAGTAAGGATCAGGTTGAATGGGTTTCTGAGCAACGTGATCTAGTGAAAAATGTCCCTACCCACGGCAGGGAGGCTGGAGATAGATGACTTTAAGATCTCTTGCAACAGAAAGCATTCCAGGATTCTATGACCATTAAAGTTTTGTTGCAACCCAAATGATTCTATGATTCCATAATTCTATTAAAGGTTTATTTCCACAATTCTAGGAAAGGTTATTCCATAATTCTACTCAAATCCCATGATGGGTGGTGCCTGGGGGATGTGCCAGGCCACCCCATGTTTGCTGATGGCAGCTGGAGCAACACAGACACCCAAACCTGCTGTCCTGACCCTGCTGTGAGGGCTGGGCTGCAACCAGAATGGGAGCAGGTGGGCACTTTCCCTGGCTGCTGAGTGGACAGACAAACACAGACAAACAGATCAAGCATCCTGGTATGACTGTGCTGGTGCTTGTTTCAGGCCTGACAGCTTCCACAATTTCATAGCATCTTTCCTTCACACTGTCTCCTCACACACATGAAAATGGCTCCTCTTTCACGCCTGAATGTATTGCACTTGAAACTCCTGGATGCTTTTTTTTACCTTTACCAAAAGTTTGAAAGCTCCTTCTGCCTTTTCATTGCCCCCCCCTTGCCTGGTAGCAGATGTTTTTGAATGTGCAAGAGAATACATGCAGGGATTGTGTTCATTTGTATTTCATGGAATAAAGAGGCGAGTTACAAACGCAGTGCTGTCATTGTCCTGCATTAAACAGTGAGACAAAGCTTGGGGTTTGAGAACAGGAGGCTCAGTCCTCTAACACTTCTGAACTACTGTAAATCCTTTATTACAAATGCAGGAAAGAATAAAAAGATTAATTCCTTTGATGCTTTATGGACCTGTTTTACAAACAGTTTTCATTTTTTACCTTCAGCTCAAGGAAATTTTGTAAGGAACAATTTTCTTATTTGGCAGTCTTTCTTTACATCACTAAGGCTAGAAATTACTAGATTTTTCAGAGAAAAGTTCAAAGGCTAACTAAAATATGTTGATTTTGCTGTATTTCTTCCTTCAAGACAAAGAGGGCAAACAAACGCAAAAGAGCAGGAAAGAGAGTCATAACATAAGGCAACTTTCTGACCTCCTGCTGTTTCCATAATTTTGCTGTTGGAGAAATAGAAAGTTTGCACCCTCTTTTACTTGTACCTCATGCTAAGTTCAAGTGTTGAACTACTTAGCCACTGCTTTTCACTTCCTCTCTGGTCCTAGGCTCTCAACACTTTTGCAGAAGGGGCAATGTTAGCTGGCTAAGGCATCATTCTTCCTTTTTGCTCCAATACAGAGAAACTGGAGAGAAGGCAGGAAGAAGAAATAATGTGAAGGGGGAAAAAGGGATCACAGCAATATACAGGTTGGAGAGACTTCAGGTGGTCCTATTGTCCCAATCTCACTTGAATACTCTTAGTTCATCTGCTACTTTCACCAGAAAGTGAGCCCCCTCCACCCCCAACAACTGCTGTGCTTTTATTTAGATCAGGATTTCAGTGTTTAGCTTTTGTTTTTTCAGACCAAATCCCACCTTAATTGCACTTGGTATTCCTAACCTCCTGAAATCCTGCTGGAATACTTAATAATGCTTCTCTTTTATATCTATTATTATGGCCATCTGACCTCCCATTTCGGGCTCCTTCACATATGTGAATAAGGTATTTCCTATCTATACTGCCAGGTGGTGGCAGATGTTCAAATCAAGCTGAACAGAACTAAACAGAGCACCCACTGTTTTTGGGGCACTCTGGGCACTCTGATCCTTTACAGTTTAGTCCTCTTTTTTGTTTTGGATTCCTTTGTTGGTTTTCGTGTACTGTGACAAACCTCAATTCCTTGGTATGCAGACTTGAGTGATCCCACTTCAAGATGGCTGGGGAGATATTTGAGAGGGTCCATAAAGGGACTACCAAGTTAGTGAAGAACCTAGAGTGTAACAACCCCAGTGAGAGGTTGTGGTGTTTAGTCTGTTTTACTGAACATGCTGCAGTGCCCTCTTGGGTGCTCAGGCCTCCCATACCCCATGTAGCCACAGAATTACAGAGTAATTCAGGTTGCAAGGTAACTCAGGATGTCTCTGGTCCAACCTCCTGCTCACAGCAGGGTCAGCTTGAGGTTGGACTAAGCTGCCCAGGACTTCATAAAGCTGGGTCTTGAAAAGCTCTAGGGATGGAGAGCTCTGGAGCCTTGTCAGGGTTCAGGCCTGTTTGTGTGAGCCTTCTCCAAATCTTTGCTGCCTGTGGGTTTAGAGGAGTGGTGATTGTGAAAACTTGGGCGATATGCAAAGGAGACTTTGAGCACATGAAAAGATCTTTGAGGATGTGAGCTTTGAAGCCCTGCCTGTCTCCTGTTGATAGCAGTGTCCCATCTGCTCTTGTCCTACATACATAGATCCCATACTATGCTTAGATAATCACTGAGGTTTTTTGGGGTTCCTTGAGTCCTGTAGAGCTAGATTAGGATATCCAGGTCCTTATTGCTGTGTTTTAGATTAGATTAGATCCATCTATCCCTACCTTGAAAAGCATTGCCCTAATTAAAAACACATTTTTTGTAGTTGTCACTATGTGTTTCAGAGATTGCAGGGAACTTATTTTTCTCCTTAACATTCAGTAACTAAAGCACACAGTCATGATTGGTATCTTCTTAAAACAAAAATGACTGAAAGGAATGTGCATCAACTCTAATAACAGTGATTCAAACCTTCACTTTTTATATACTGCAATAGCAAATTTTATTTACTTGCTTTGCTAGCATTATATGGAACACAAATGTCTGTATTTTTATGTTTATAGACACATTTTTCCTCAATTGCCAGTTGTCTCTGTGGTGATGAGGGTTGCAAAATGTCATCCATTTTGGTTATATTTATGCCTTTCTCTACACAACATACAAGGCTATGCAGGCTTAAAAGCTTCATGCTCGTCATTTGTCATTATCAGTATCAGGGCAGTCACTGAAATCTAAGAATGCTCTGCTTCTCCCCAATCATCTTTAAGTGCGTGGCCTGGAACTGGACACAAGTACAGTCTCACCAGTGCTAAACAAATACCTCTGGAAATGGCACTCCTTTCAAACTCAGCTGTTACCAGAACGACCTGCTTCCACTTGGAGAAAACAGTGCCTCTCAGACTATTTCTGAGTGTTGCTGGAGCGTGTCCAAAGCAGAGAAACAAAGATGGTAAGGGGTCTAGGAAATGATGAGTGGGTGAGGGAATTGGTAGAAAGGAAGCTCAGGGGGAATGTTATTTCTCTCTACAACTGCATGAAAGGAGGGTGCAGCCAGGTGGGTGTTGTCCTCTTCTCCGGGTATCAAACAACAAAATAAGAGGAAACAGCCTCAGGCTGTGCCAAGGGAGGTTTAGATTGGATATCAGGGAAAATTTCATACCTGAAGAGATTGTGAAGCACTGAAACAGGCTGCCAGAGAAGTGATTGAGGGGTCCTCCCTGAAGATACTTAAAGGGTGTGTAGATATTGCATTTAGGGACATGGTTTAGTGATAAACATTGTCATGCCAGGTTAGTGGTTGGACTCAATGATCCTAGAGGTCCTTTCCAACTTAAAATTATGCTATGATTCCATGATTCTGTTTCCCACTGACACATAATTTATCAGGTGAGATGCAGGTGTTGGTGAGAAAATGAAGGGCAAATCTTCTCCTTCCATTTAGAACACAGTTCTGCCATGAGATGCTCTGAAAAGGAGAATCCATCACCATCCCTCCTAGTTCATGTGTGGAGTGACAGGATAGCTGCAGAAAGTACCTTTTCCTCTCTTGACCACCTGAATTATTTTCAAATTTCTTGATTAAAATGCTGCAGACATCCTGAGCCCAATCCTAAAGTGTTTACAGACAGAAAGAACAGTTTTGGCTTTCGCCAAGTTGTTTGGCAAAGTATCCTTTTCATGCTGAGTTCTCTGGAGCTAGATGGGAGTTCTGGCTCCCATTCTCACATTTTTGCCGTTAATAAAGCTTTCCAAAGGAAAGGCAGTTGAGCTGTTACCGTCAAAACTCCACCTTGGCACAGATTTAACTCAGAAGCAAAGCCCAAGCAGACCAGCCGGGCCAATGGGTGCAAAGCCTGGCCCCTGAGTAGTTTTCCCATGTGCAATCAGATTAGTAGGGCCCCATAGTGCCAGTGTTGGGCAGAACTCTGCTCTGCTCCTGCACCCTCACAGGCAGAATGGGTGGCTGGTAAAGGGCAATTCAT